GAAAAGTCCAGGACAAAGCATTCTCCCTACTGAGCTGAGTTCCTTCTTTCAGGACACTGTTGTCGTTAACGATCGTTGGTGCAAAAACTGCTCTTGCCAACATGGAGGCTACTACAATTGTGCTGACAAATACAAACCAGGGATCCTGCCAACTCACAAGTGGGAGATGTGCTCCTCCATCGACAAGCTTTCCTGGGGCTATCGAAGCAACATGAAAATTTCTGAGCTAATGGATGAAGCAAGTATCATTGAGGTAAGAAATCTGAAATCAAAATAAGATGGGGGGAGAGTTACAGAGAATTAGAGGTTTCCTTCATCCTCCAACTTGCAGAAAGAGTCGTCCTGTGTTTCATACAACTGGGCTGGAGTTAAAGGAGCATTTGATGAGGACAAAGCCCTCCTTGGTTTTCTTTGTTGTCGGAAGTGAAGATAATGCAATTTGTTACCTTGGTTTATCTGTCACAGGAGCTAGTGCAGACTGTGAGCTTTGGAGGCAACTACCTTCTCAATGTGGGACCTACAAAAGAGGGGGTGATTGTTCCCATCTTCCAAGAAAGACTTCTTGCCCTCGGGAGGTGGCTGGACACTAACGGGGAGGCAATTTATGAATCGAAGCCATGGAGGGTACAGATGGAGAACAGCACAGACACGGTCTGGTAAGGACTCTGTTGCTCGGTACCCTTGGGGCTGGGGTTTCAAGAGTTGACATTTTTATCCTATTTTTTCTTAAATTTGGTGCACTCTGAAACGTTGCCATCAGGTGCAGATGGTGTTGAGGTAACATCCTATAATCAGAGTGCTCTGTTACTGCCCTGGGGTGTTACCTAAGGAATATTTTGCTTGAAAGAAGAGAACAAAAATTGGGATTTCATCCATCTTGCTTCATTTGGAAAAAAACCCAACTCTTCCTTTAAAAAAATATCCATGCTGGTGCTGTTAGGACTGTGTAAGCAGTGGACCTGGCTAGTTTGAGTTGCACAAATGTGGATCATCCAAACACATACAGTTTGTAAATATAGTGATATTTGCTTTTAAGCTGTTATATAATAATACTAATCATTGTTACCCAACGGTTAGGTTTATACTGAGAAGGGGACGGTGAGTCAAGAGCTAGAAATTGCTACAAAACAGAGGGGTTTTTTTGTTTTTGTTTTTTTTTTTGGTGTGCCCAAGTGTGTTCAGTCTGGAAATACAGAGCAATGATCAGGACAAGTGGTGTATCCGCTCTGTTGACCCCACACTGAGGCAAGGACAGCTCGGCAAATGACATTTGCTTTCAGGAAGCACGCACGGACTTTGTTTGGGTTTCATCAGCCAGTGCTGACTGGTTAGATGGTGGGTCCAAAGTGGCAGGTTTTGGAATGAGGGGGAAGTAGGTGACCCCTGTGCGGTGACAACAGATGAGCCCGTGCTCTCGTGCTGTCTGGAAAGGTCAAGCTCGTGTCTGGTTCTCTCTCTGGTGGGGCTCTTCACCTCGCTGAACTCTTGCTCTCTCAGGTACACCTCTAAGGGCCTGGTTGTCTACGCCATCTTTCTGATCTGGCCTCAGGACAACGTTTTGAAGCTGTCCTCACCCACTCCATCCCCAGCCACACAAGTAAGGAACTTGAGAAAAAGCTAACGTGCTCTGAGAGCCCATCTTGGGCACGTGGGGGTTGGGAAGGTCCAACCTGGCTTCATTTGGAAGTTGAGGGGAGTGTTCTTTTTGTTTTGGGGTGCTCTGGCCTCCCTTCAGATCCTCACAGCCTCCCTGGTTGCTCTCCAGGCTTTACCTCACTGTTCAACACAGAGCATGGGGTAGGACTTGCTGGGACAGGCTCACAGGCTGCAGTGGAACAGGGAGAGACACTTCTTCCCCCCCTCCCCGAGTCTTTTGTCCCTATTGACACAGGGAGGTGAAGCAAATAACGAGCCTCACACATGGAAGGGATCCCTGGTATTGCATTTCACATTCAAATCAGGTGCACTGACCCGCTAATTGTCAATGTAATGGGATGTGACGCAAATGGCCAGAGTGCCCTTTGCTCTAAACAAACAGGTAAAGCCTTCTTAGTAAAAAAAAAAAAAAAAAAAAAAGCACAAAATAACCCCATATTCATCTCCAGGCTTTGGTAGACATTATTATGTAAAGCAGCTGCGTAACCCCTTGTCAATGTAATGGGATGTGACGCAAATGGCCAGAGTGCCCTTTGCTCTAAACAAACAGGGAAAGCCTTCTAAAAAAAAAAAAAAAAAAAAAGGCCAAAAAACCAAACCAAACAACGAATTACAGTTTGGCCCCCAAAATATCCTGCGTGTTACCTTTTGATGGGTGGAAATGTGCGGGACCAGTTTGGCTGTAGGGGGAAAATGCTGTACAGAGACTGCAGGAGCCTTGTGGGTGCAGTGGGGGGTTCCAGTGGGGAGGGAGCAGCTGGGTGAGCTACGACCGAGTGTTTCCCCCTCTCCTCCTCCTCTGCAGGTGACGATGTTGGGGTTTGCAGGGACTCTGAAGTGGCAGGAGTCCCCGGGTAAAGGGCTGCTCGTAACGTTGCCCCTCATGCCTCCCTCTCCTCTGCCTCCCCAGCCTGGCTGGGCTGTCAAGCTTGAAGGTGTGAAGTGACGCTGCGGGATGGAAGCAGCAGCCCCTCTGGCCTTACTTTTATATGGAGTTTGAGAGTATTTTTCGTGTTACCTTTTGATGGGTGGAAATGTGCGGGACCAGTTTGGCTGTAGGGGGAAAATGCTGTACAGAGACTGCAGGAGCCTTGTGGGTGCAGTGGGGGGTTCCAGTGGGGAGGGAGCAGCTGGGTGAGCTACGACCGAGTGTTTCCCCCTCTCCTCCTCCTCTGCAGGTGACGATGTTGGGGCTTGCAGGGACTCTGAAGTGGCAGGAGTCCCCGGGTAAAGGGCTGCTCGTAACGTTGCCCCTCATGCCTCCCTCTCCTCTGCCTCCCCAGCCTGGCTGGGCTGTCAAGCTTGAAGGTGTGAAGTGACGCTGCGGGATGGAAGCAGCAGCCCCTCTGGCCTTACTTTTATATGGAGTTTGAGAGTATTTTTCATTCGGTGTTGAATAAATTGGTTTTTTCTCTCAAGAAAATTTATTCTCTAATCCCTCTCGCCTGTGTATCGGTGGACCTTGAAGGACTGACCTCTCCGCTCAGCAGTGGGAAGTTGGGAGGTCCTGTGCAGTGTTCTGCTGGGGTGGGACAGCCCACGGGCCAAACATCTCTCTACACTTGCAACGAGGAGGTTTTTTGATGTTTTATGTGGGTTTCTTGGTATATGTTTTTGTTCTTACGTGAACTTAACAGAGAATTATGCATACAAACAGAGAGATGCCTTTTTTGATGTTTTATGTGGGTTTCTTGGTAGATGTTTTTGTTCTTATGTGAACTTAACAGAGAATTATGCATACAGAGATATGCCTAGAAATACTTAAAGGGAGGGTGTCAGGAGGACGGGGCTGGTCTTTTCTCAGTGGTGCCCAGTGACAGGACAAGAGGAAATGGGTACAAACTTGAACATAGAAAGTTCCACCTAAACGTGAGGAGGAACTTCTTTCCTGTGAGGGTGGCAGAGCCCTGGCAGAGGCTGCCCAGGGAGGTGGTGGAGTCTCCTTCTCTGGAGACATTCAAAACCCTGCGTGGACACGTTCCTGTGTGACCTGCTCTGGGTGGCCCTGCTTTGGCAGGGGGTTGGAGGAGATGATCTCCAGAGGTCCTTTCCAACCCCATGGGATTCTCTTCTGTGATTCTGTGAGAAGCTGTGGTGGGGAACTGAACCTCCGAGTTCTGCTCTTTCGATGAAATACGATTTCCTGTCTCAGGTGTTGAACTTCTCTAAAAAAAAGGGTTGAACAGTACGTCCTTAGGTGATGAAACTCCTCATCCTGGCGTGCGTTTGTGCCGCACGGCCGTCGTGAAGGCCTTGCTCGCAGCGTTGCACGCCGGCCTTGTTTTGCTACTGTACGGGGTGGCGGGAGCAAAAGTTGCCGGAATAGTTGGGATTTGAACACCAGGGAACTGGGACACGTGCTGGGCTGCTGTTGTGGGAGCTGTTACTCAATGGACAAACAACCATCCCCGCTGACGAACCTTTTTTGGGGGGGGGGGGACTTCAGGGAACTGGCACCGGCGGCCAGAGACCCGCTC